GTCCGACACTTCTGCTTCATACTTGGATATTTTACTTGAAAAAGACACTAATGGTAATCTAACAACCAAGCTATATGATAAACGTGATGACTTTAACTTTTCTATCGTCAACTTCCCTTACTTGAGCAGCAATATACCTTCATCACCTGCATACGGAGTATTTATATCTCAGTTGATTCGATACGCAAGAGCATGCTCTACGTATGAACAATTTCTTAAACGAGGTAAATTATTGACAAGCAAGTTGATGAAACAAGAATATCAACAGTCTCGTTTAAAGTCATCATTTCGTAAATTCTATGGTCGATACAATGACCTTGTCAGCAAATACAATTTATCATTGAATGAAATGCTGACTGACGTTTTTCATACCAATTGTTAGTCCATTATTTATACACTGAATTGACCACGGATTTTTTCCGTTATTTCCTGATTATGACAACGAGCACACGGCGGGTGTGACCGGTCGGCAGGGGATGCTCACTCCTCCATGGCACCTGATCCCACCTCTGATGTTTCGGAGGTCCGTGTTTGCTCTGCTCTTATTTTGTATATTTGTTTAATGGACGTTGAGATTGAATACTGTTCGTTATTTCCATATCCTTCCCAATTGTTTAATGACTCCATCTTAATATTGTAGGTATGACACGAACAACAATATACCAAGTAAGAACAGAGACCACCACGGAAGCAACAGAGACCACCACGAAAGCAACAGAGACCACCACGAAAGCAACAGAGACCACCATGAAAGCAACATGGCTGGCGCTCAGCAAGAAAATTTGTTATAAGTTAAACATCCTTCTAGTAGAAAAAAAAGATAAAGCTCACTATGAAACTTTTGTTACTTTTGTAGATTGCTTCTAACCTCATTTACCCTTTTAAATTTTCTGTAAAATTAAAATTAAAGAGTAGCACTGTATATATTAGTTAATTATATTCTTTGAATTTTTTTTTAATGAAAAATGGTAAAATTTAGTTGTTAATTACCAGTAATTTTTTGTTACATCAAAAAATTAAATGTAAAAGTTTTTACTCATGGATATCCACAACACCTGAATTGTTGCAACTAATTTTTGTGTACTGAAACTTTTATTGGTAGATGTTAGTGAAGATGGGACATCAATGACAGTGAATCCCAAACAGCAGACATCAATGACAGCGAATCCCAAACAGCAGATATGTATGACAGTGAATGCCAAACTGCAGAGTGACACATAGGGGGAGGAAAAAGATGCATATTATGGTAAATTTGGTTTGTATATGAATATCATCATGTTGACATGTGTATTAAATTTTATGTTTCTACTGTTATTTAATGTTAAAAAAATGAGGAAAATATGTCCGAGGTGTAAAATGATTAGTAATAACAAACAAACAAGTGTTCTTGGTAATCATTTATTCAGAAAGAATCAAATTGTTAAGAAAAAAAATAGTTTGCCATCAAAGTATGAGCTGGCACATGTTGGACATTATTCTGAATCGGATGATGATTATGATGACATAGAATTTGATATTCATTATGTTTCTGATAACTGAAGAGCAGTATACAAAATTCTTGGTAGTTCTCATGATCAGGTAAAAAAAATATATGTTTCCAAGGACCTCAGATTTTAATTTAATAAAAATGTGTACATATTTTTATAAGTTTTGCTATTCTCGAAAGATAATTGTTTTCTTTCATAAAGGATGTTCAATCTAATTAAAAAATTTTATTAGGATTCCTAGCTTGGGGAATCACAGCTACAGTCTTCTTGAAGCTGTCGATTATCATCATCATCAAGATAAGAATTCATTATACCACCAATCCTCAATCGCAAGATGAACCAATAGAATCCAACATCCCTAACCAAGTCCAATCACCACCTCAGCCAACTGCACCACCCCTGCCAACAACACCACCCCAGCCAACAACACCACCCCAGCCAAAGATTGTCACGCCTGAAACAGCAAGTGGTGAAAGTTTCCACACGCCTCAATCGTTGAAACCCCTAATTAGACCGTCTCCTGTTAGTGCCCACACAAGGTCTAAAATGCAAAAAAAAAGTTAGTGTTTGAGTCAAGGGTTTAAGCTATTAGAGTTTGAGTCAAAGGTTTAGGCCATTAGAGTGAAAAGAAACCACATGAGATATGCATGATGACACTGTAGTAACAAGACATTGATGTCTTGAATTTATAGTTTGTATGATATGTATGTTTTTTTCCCTTACTTTTCTGTGTTTCATTTGTGGACGAGAGGAAAAAATGATAATTTTTTTCCAAAATGTTAGAATTGTTTTTGTGATTTATGATACTGATTCTTTTTTCAAGAAAGGAAAAGGAACAATAGATAGAATTTTACACATATGTTTTTTTTTATTAGTTTTATGATAAAAACTGAAATAACATTTTAATCTATGTATTAGAATTAACACTTCGTGTTTTATTATGTGTAATTTTACACTGATTTTATACATACTGTGCAAGGTTACGAGAGAGAGATTTTTGAAAATTATTCTATGTTTGGTTGATTGGAAGGTGGATTTTTTCTTTGCAGACAGGAAGGGAGATAATGTAAATTCCTACTTTAGAAATACAATTTAGAATAGTTGATTGCAGGTTGTGTGATTTGTATTCTCTTTTATGAATTATATTATGTATTTTGGGAAAAAAAAATCAGAATTTTCCATATACACACCCTTTTTTGTTTATGTGATGGAGTTTTTTGCACATGGGTAGTGCAATTTATTATTATTTTTGTCATGACTTATATTGTTAATTTTGAAAACATCACATTTATTATACTGATTCCTTTTTTTCTTGAGAAGAAAGGAACCAGAATTTTACACGAGTGAATTCCTCAGGAGTTTTAATATGTTTACTGTTAATTTTTTGTATCAAAATTAACACTTCACATTGCATAATGTGTAACTTTACACGGATTTTGTGTATAACTTGTGCTATTTTATGAGAGATGTTTTTTTTTATTATACAGTTGATTTTTAGCATGCAGTTTACATGTTTGCAATTGAATATACCAATCATGTTGTTTATGAATTTAAATAAAAGTTTTTTTGAAGTTAAAAATACGTTTTGTTTTTTTTTCTTTAGATGAGTTGCGGTGTAACAATATAAAAAAAATATAATACATTATTGAATTTCAGGTTGTATTTTGAAAAGTATATTTTAAAGAATTTCATAAACAGTCTGAAATTTTTAATTTAGAACATGTCAGACGGTAGTCTCCTCAAAGAAATCTAGGACTCCTTGGTTGATTCAGATGCCGTGCAGTTATTTGCAACAGCGAATGGTTTAGTTGGTGATGTCGAGGTCGAGAACCGATTAAGAGAACTCCAGCATGAAAAGGAACTTAAGTGGGGAAAGCACATAGACGACTTATGGCAGGAGGTTCTCTCTGATATGGAGTCTCCTCCTAAAAAAACGTGTCATTCTTGCAATGATGGCAATCAACCTTCTACAAGTAGACAGGTGGGGGCGGTGGGGAAAGTTCTGATTCTAAGGACACATTAGCAAAACCTTACTATATCTGGAAGAGAGATACCAGGACCTTCAAGAAAAATCTGGCCCGCGACACCACGTTCAAGGTCAAATTCAATGAACAGTGGAGGGGGGATAAATTAATAGATATCCAAAACAAATTACACGAGATGTTCGACGACCTGTTGTCGCAGGCCAAGGGTCATGATGCGGATTTGGGAAGGGTGGTCCTAAGTCATCCGAGTTTAAACAATCCTATCGTCGTGCCGCTGCAGTCCTGGGAAAAATTGAATGCAGATGTGGTCATGTCTGAGATCACCAAGGTACTCAATTCGAACGAAAGCTTACCCGTAGACGAAAACCTGCTAGTCACCATCGGGTCCATTGACTTACCTAAAGGGGGAGGTAACCCTAGAAAATTACCCATTACAACTCTTTTCGGTTAAAAATAGTATAGAAAGGAAAAAATCTCTTTTTCACGTTCAAAATAATGACAATTTATGTATGGCCATTTCCATCGGTCTGTGTTTTCTAAAAACGTGTAAGAAAGTAGATACGGAAACATGGAATAATTTAGTGAGGAATGATCCTGGAACGATGCTAGATCACGCCCTCAAACACCGCACTATTTCTCAAACGTATTATGACAATATCTTGAAAACGTCGAGACAAAAAATGCAAACGGAGCTGGCCATGGGGCTATGTGAAAAAGCCGGTGTGCCCAATGACAGGTATTTAGGTCTGAATGATATCGAACCTTTTGAAAATTTATTTGATGTCTCGATCAACGTCGTGTCCTCTGCCGTTGGAAACAAATTTGTCAGGGTCACAGAGGATCAGGGTTAGCCTCGTCTCTATTTGTATCACGTGGATTCGGAACAGGAAAAACACTGGCATGGAATTGCTAGGATACAAGGATTTTTTAAGGCGTCGTATTTTTGCCATACTTGTTTAAAACCGTATAAAAATAAATCCAAACACTCTTGTGCCACCTCTTGTGAAGTATGTTTACATGACAACTGCCCAGAAACAGACGTCCAAATGGGTTGTCGTTCCTGTGGTCGGATCTGTCGGTCTTGGACGAGTTTTAAGAGACACAAACAACAAAAAGTTGTCAAGAAAGAGAGTTATCCCCCCGCCTGTGACGTGTTTTACCAATGCAAAAATTGTAGAGTCACTCTGGAACGTGCTAATCGCTCTTCCCATTTACATATTTGTCAAGAGTGGCAGTGCCCCAACTGTCGGGAATATCAAACGGGGGAACACAATTGTTATCAGAAATCGTATACGTGTGATATGGAGAAGAGAAACAAGAAATTTATTTTCTACGATTTTGAGACGCGTCAAGATGACATTTATCATTGCAACAAAGGATACAGACCGTCTTGCATCAGATGTCGCCATTGTGTTAAGGAGGAACGCCAGTGCTTAAACTGCAGACTCTGTCAGAACTGTCGCGATCCGTCCTGCGGTCTACAACAACATAAAGTCAACTTTGCCGTACTACAGACCACTTGTCACAAATGCGAAAAAATGGAATAGTGGAGGGTGCTACCTGTCATCAATGTGGAAAACGATGTACAAAATGTTCCCGGACCCGAAAAGGAGAATTTATGTTTCCCCCTTGTACCGACACTTGTGGAAAAAGGGAACTCGTGTTTTCTGGTGACAGCGCCGCCGAGCAGTTTTGTGCTTACATTACCAGTAAACACTGCAGGGACTCGATTTTAGTTGCACACAATGCCAAAAGTTTTGACCTGTATCCCGTTTTAGAAGTTCTTATCGACCGACACTCCATTCGACCAAGCAAGATCATATACAATGGTTCCAAAATCATGTACATGCACATTGCCCAAAAACTGAATTTAACTTTTGTGGATTCCCTCAATTTCCTTCCCATGAAACTAGCTAAAATACCAGAAGCTTTTGGTCTACAGGAACTCTGCAAAGGTTACTTTCCCCATTTATTTAATACCAAAGCCCATCAAAATTACGTGGGGCCATATCCAGAATTAAAATATTACGGATACGATGCCATGTCGACTGGGGAACGGAAGAAGCTTGCAGAATGGCATGCAAGGAAACAGATCGAAATCTTTAATTTTCGAGAAGAAATGTTGCAATATTGTCGCTCGGACGTTGACATACTGAGACGGGGCTGTCTGGAATTTCGAAATTTAATGATCAAGGTGACGACCGTCAAAGAACACATTCCACAAGCAGACGGAACCGTCAAGGAAAGTACCACGTTTGGAATCGACCCATTTGATTACGTCACCATTGCAAGCGTGTGCATGGGGATATTTAAATCTTTATTTTTGAAAGGAAAGTACAAGATAGAAATCACCAAAGACGGGGAATGTTCTTGGTATGACGTCCACACGCTTGAGGGAATAGAAGTGATCAACATCGAAGATTCGTGGACGTCATTAATTGACTTGAGGAAGGAGGAAAATATACAGATAGGAAGACGGCATTTCAAGAGTCCCATAGCAGTAGTACCCTCTCAAGGTTATACAAAACGCGACAATTATAGCAAGATTTCCATTCAGTGGTTAGAATGGCTAATGGAAAAAAGTCGTCAACGGGGAAATCCTTTAAGCATTTCTCACGCTCTCAACGGGGGTGAATATCATGTCCCGGGGACCAATTATAGATGCGACGGATTTGTACAGAGTCCCAACGGAAAAGGAACCATTTACGAATTTTATGGTAAGCCCTGGCAATATAGTTCTGTTTTTTATATCTAACATTTACCCCCTTTCCCCCTAAACTGGAGGGGGGGGGGGCGGCGGCGTACCTGGACTAAACCACGAATACATAAATGTTTAATTTTTTTTGCATCTCAAAACTAGGTTGTGTGTTCCACGGCTGTCCCTCCTGTTTCCCAGAAGACCGAAATTACACCAAACATCCTTCCACCAATCAAACTATCAAAGAATTATACGATATGACAATAAACAGAGAAAAAGAACCTAAAAATCTGGGATACAGCATGGTTACTATATGGGAGCATCAGTTTAAATATCAGTTGGATAAGAATGCGTTTTTGCAACAGTTTGTGTCGACCCTAAGTAGTATAACGGGCCTAGATGGCTGGGTCAACTGAGTGCACTTTTGGGGCTGGGGGGGATAGCTGGGTCAACTGAGTGCAGCCCCTGTGGGGGATAGCTGGGTCAAGCGAGTGCAGCCCCTGGAGGGGATAGGTGGGTCAAGGGAGTGCAGCCCCTGTGGGGGATAGCCGGTTCAATTCAGTACATATAATCCCCCTAAATACGGGGGTGTGTTTACACTGTGTTTACATTATACACTATACGCTGCTGCTACTACGATTCATAACGCTGCTAGTATGATTTTGGCAGCGACTCAAAAGAATGTGATTATGACGTCACTCATTCACAGTGATTTTCCGAAAATGAAAAAAAAACAATAACACACAATAGAAACAAGAACACAGATTTTATTCAAGTGAAAAAATACAACAATTTACTTTTTCTTCTTCTGGGCCTTATCGGTCATCAGGGATAGTTTCCTCTTGTGAGTAGTACTGGGTCCTGGATTCTCTCTGTTTTCTTCCTTTTTTTTCTCTTTTTTGTCTCCTTCTTTCACTAGAGGTTTGGTCTGGTGGGTCCCTGAGATCTTGAGTTCCTGAGGCTTTTTCTCCAGTTTTTGTACTTCTTTGACGAATTGTTGATCCTCGTCATCCTCTGTACACTTATTAGCCCAATGGCCAAATTTCCCGCACTTGTAGCACAAATCTTTCTTGGGGCAATCTGGGGCCCAATGCCCTAACTCTTTGCACCTGTAGCATGGGTCCGTCTGTCTAGTTTTCTTTTTTTCTCCCGATTCCCCTTGTCCTTCTTTTTTCTGGTAAGTGCTTGCTCCTCCTCCTCTCATTTTGTCTTGCATGTTAGTAACTTTCACTTCTAATTTGGATAATTTGGCACGAATCAAACAAAATTCACTGGCGTTGTAAGTTTTCAGATCAGTCAGCTTGTTTTCATGATCACCCACCTTCTCAGCAATATATTTCAGCGTGTTGTCATGATGTCGCACTTTCTCACCAATATAATTCAGCTTGTTGTTAAGATCACTCACCTTGTTGTTCATATCATTCATCTTGTTGTCAAGAGCGGACAGCATGTTAACAATCCCATCCAGAGTTGTATTTAATAGGCCCATATCTTCTTTATTCGCATATTCTGGAAGATTATACATGCCCAAATCTAATCCCACTGCATCCTGTGACTCTGGCATAGGGGCTCCTACATAACCTTCAGGTGTCACATAGCTGGGGTTGTCTGGAGTATTCATCATTGCTTCTGCCATAATATTTTTTTCACGTCTGTCAAGTTCGAAATGTCAAGCAAGACTGATCGTCAAATCCCAGCTCCCCTTTATATACCTGCTGTGGGCCGTGTGCACCTTTTACCTGTCCTTTTTATACCTGTTGCATCATCTGTAAAGGGTTGTGTGCAAAAAATTAGGGGGCGTGTGCATCAATACGTTTTACCTACGTTTTTTTATGCTGACTACACAGGTAAATACTTGGCAGCGATTCAAGTCAGGGGCCCGTGTGCAAAAATACGATAGACCTACGTTTTTTTTAATTTTTTTATGCTGACTACACAGATAAATACTTGGCAGCGATTCAAGTTATACCTTAACCTACGTTTTATACTGGGGGGTATAAATGAGAAGAAAAGTCTGGTCCTTTCTTCACAATCGACTATCATGTCAACCCTGATACACACTCACTCTCTGATTTTAGATGGGTATGATTGTTTAGTACGATGGGCACAAAATCACCAAGAAGCTCTACCCCCGGAGGCAGAACAAGTATTTCAGAAAGCCAGCACTATCATGGAAACCCTTCAGGATTTATGGTTACAATGCCTAACCTTATCACATCATGCGACGAGCATGGGGAGACTAGCTACCATACATTTTCTATGTCGACATATGAAAACAATTCTGCCCCAGAAATGGTACGGACTGAACCTGACCCGTTATTTCGGAAAGCCTTACAGTTTCCTGACCCATCCCCAAGCGGGCAAAGTGATTTTATTGTGGCAGGACATAGATGCGATGGAGAAAGTATGTATTCAATACGGAATGAAATACCTGGAAATTTCACAAAGGCTAGGAAATCCGTGACTTTTAATACCAGCCTCAATCAAATCTACGAATTACCCCCCGAAGACCGGAGAAGTCCCTGGTTGCAATTAGTAGCGGATCGAATACGATTTCGGAGGAGAATTCGACAGTTAGAAGCTTTGTTAGTTTTTAAGAAATAAAAAAATCATGTAATACTACATCAGTGTTATGTTATTGTATGACGTCATATATGCACTCGGGTTCGGCCTTTTCCCCCTTCAATTTTGCTTTGTCACTGTGATGGGGCGTTTTTTGATCACATGATCAAAAGCGATTTTTTTGTGTTAGCCAATCACATTTGATCACATGATTGGATTGTTGATGTTTTGCCGCGATTGCACAATCGTCTGCTATTGTGTATAAATACAGACCCTCCGAATAACGCTTCATCACGCTTGAGGCACAAACTTCAGAACAACATATGAAACCTTTGACAAAGGTATCACCATTTATCATTCAAAAAGGTATTCAAGGAATCATCGGTACTCCTAAATCTGTTAAAAAGTTGAGATCCGGTGCTCTACTTATCGAAGTTACCAAAAAACAACAGTCAAATACATGGGAGAATAAATATGGGAATGGCTAATAAACTGAAAAAATAATAAGCAAACAAGTATTTTCTTTTATCACCTGTAATTGGACTCAAGGTGTTTGGAGGCAAGGTCATGTCTGTGGTAGCCTGGATGGTATCAGTGTGGAAATGATCAGTAACAGTGTGTGTTTGGGTGGGGATAGTCACGGTGTGTGTTTGGGTAGTTGCGGTATGTGTTTGGGTGGGGGTAGTCACAGTGTGTGTTTGGGTGGGTAGTCGCGGTGTGTGTTTGGGTAGTTACAGTGTGTGTTTGGGTGGGGGTAGTCACAGTGTGTGTTTGGGTAGGGGTAGTCGCGGTGTGTGTTTGGGTGGAGGTAGTCACAGTGTGTGTATGGGTGGGGGTAGTCACGGTGTGTGTTTGGGTGGTGTCAGTAGGGGTAGTTACAGTGTGTGTTTGGGTGGGGGTAGTCACAGTGTGTGTTTGGGTGGGGGTAGTCACAGTGTGTGTTTGGGTGGTGTGGTCATTCATAGAACCAGTGAGTGACAGAGTAGTGTCTGTGGTGTACCATAAATACACCAATACAATAAATGTGTACCACAAATACCATAAAAAAAGTTCACCCCCCCCCCTTCCACCCCCACAAACAACAAACAAAACAACTCCAAAACACAAACAAATAAACAAGAAAGAGAACAAAAATCAATTGAAACCATTATGATACAAAGATGTACTTACGGGTGTTGTTGTTCGCCATTGTAGTTACCTCTATAAATAAAAGAAATGATAAATTCAAATATCACTTAAAGATGCTGGAATGTAACTCCATTATCACAAAAAATCTTCCTAAATTTGTTTTAGTCATGTACCTGGACAAAAAACGTCTTCCCCGTTGAAAGAACAAGCTATGAGTGACAAAATCAGCGATTTTTAGCGACGTCAGCTTTTAACTTCAAAGCTGTGCCGCTTTTTTCTCATGGGAGAGTAAACGAATCACGAGAAGGGGGTGATTAAAAGAGAGAGAGAGAGAGAAAAATGAGAGAAAGAAAAGTTTTATTTTACCTCGACATCGGACTTGACCCTGGCCATTTTCCATGATGATCTCCTGTATGAAATATAATTTACAAAAACGTTCATAATTGATGTTTGGTTCACACTCCCCATCGATAAATAAGCGTTTAATGACGATATCCGAGGGTTTTATTTCCTTGATGAAACAATTTACTTCTACTTGATCATATTCAAGATTTCAAACACAGATAGTTTCTCCTGAACATCTGACCCACCCCGTGAAAGGGTATTCGCAAGTAGGGGTCAGTTCACATCCAAAGGAGAAATTTATAATCGTATACAAAATATAATAAAACATACAAAACATGTTTTTTTTTTTTTTTTTTCTGTACGATTATCCAATATACGTCGATCTGATAGGTTTAAGTGAAAAAAAATGTTTATATATGTGTGTATAGGCTGACCCTCATGCAATGTACACTTTGACATTTTACATTGACAGAAGACAAATATTTGAGGAGGGGGGATGAGAGACGTAATTATTGATAACAATGTAGATCCCGCATTTCACTCGTGATCTTCCGACCTGTTTTTGTGAGACCTAGATAATTTTTTAGGTGTGAGATTTGACTAAAATTAGGTTAAATTAATTGAATTTTTCCATTTCTATTGAAAACCAGTTTTTAAAATCTTAAGTTATTGCGTTTTTTTAATATTTTCCAATGATATACTTCCAAAAAATCACATGGGAAATCGGTATAAAAAAAAGAGGAAACACCTAAAATCTTACTCTTGCGGGTACCATGGCAAAGTATGTTGATTTTAATGTTTTTCACACATTACATAAGACGCAGGTCATTTCTTTAAAATTTTGTGATTTTTTCTCTCTTTTTTTTTTTTTATATTTTTAAAGCAGGTGTATTTGCGATGACTTGAAAAAAGTCATCGTAAATCTTTCTAAAGCGATGGACATCGTGGGGGCGATACCCTGCCCGTGAGTACTAGGATTTATTATGGAACTTGAAAATTATCTGTAACAGGTCAGTTGTAAGTTTTCCTTTAATTGCACCCCTATTGTTTTTATATATAGAATAGAAGATGTGGATGAAGGAGTAGGAGAAAAACGAATAACAAGTTCTTTCAGTTGCAGTCAAGTCCCAAAGAGAGATGTGTGAAAAAGAAATGAATAAATTTGAAAAGAAAATAGACATGATTAGTTATCTTTTTTTTCTCAGCAGAGGACTTGAAAAACACAAAGAATAGACAAAAAGTCAAAATTGAAATTTATGACGTGATCAGTAAATTGAAAATGATACAAAAATATTTTTAAAAAAATTTACGAGTTTGAATCTTGACTTTTTTTATTCTATTCTCTGTTGATTACATATTATTTCGCCGTCAAAGGAAGAAA